GTCTACGACACAAAAATGTTTGTATTAAGAGAAAGGTGCACAGAAATGTTTTTCAATGTTCATGCAAACCTTTTTAAAAATCTCAAAGTTCACAACAAATTGGTCTTAACATTGTAGAAATTCTAGAAGCTCAAGATGAAGAGAAGTTGAGGTTGGAAAAATAAGTAACTGAGAAACCAAAATTGCTAAATTTAGTTATCATTAGTTCTAAGTGGAGATATGTTCCAGACGTTCTCCTTAGGAGACATCATTTACTTTACACTGAACTCCAAAATACTGACATCAAATCAATGTTGAACATTGTAATTGATTATTTAAGTCTTAAATGGCATATATATGGCAAAACCCTTTTTATTCTCCAGACATTTTAAAAATTAGTCCTATTAATTTTTATTATAAACAATTTTAGACTGTTTTATTATTGCTGCTGCAGCTGGGATTAATTGATGGACTGTGGTAATTTATTGTTGAGTTTTAGTGCTTTTACAGAGTCTTTTTGTTTTTTATTGTTGAAATTTTATTATTATGTATGTGTTTTAAATTGAACACCACCTGAGAGTAAGGAAATGTGTGTATGTGTGTTTATTCAGTAAGATTGCTCCTCATCTGTGACAAATGAGCATGAAAAATACTATTTCTATTATGTGTGTGAATGTTTTAACCCCGCTAATTCAGATTTCCCCTTTTCCAACTCACATATGGAAAGAAAGCAAAAAATTACAGCCAGGGTCTGAATCTATCAAATATTCTAATACTTGATAGATTCAGGGACTGGCTGCATATTTCGTAATGAGTTTATTAACATATTCTTACTTTTACCCTGTCATCTCTGGCACTGCTTTCATTAAGCAAAAAACTGTGAAGGCAACATAGGACCTAAAATGATTTAAGCCCAGGAAAGTTGATGTGGTGATTCAAGAATGGTCATTATTTGGAAAAGCTATTAAAATTCAGTTTGCTCTGTTCTAGGAAACCAGACTCTGAGAACAGGAAATGGTTTGCAGTGTGCAAAAATACAAGGCTAGCCTGAAAAGATCAGAGAGTTCAAAGACCACATGTATCTCACCTTAAGAAACACTCAGAACCACAAGTAGCTAACTTAAGTTCCACATTACATGGAAGATCGTCATTTGCATTGCCATTGCATTGCATTTATATCCTGCCTTTTTTCCTGGTGCAAGGAACCCAAGGTGGCTTACATAGTGCTCTTTCACTCCAGTTTATCTTCACAACAACAGCCCTGCGAGGTGGGCTGGGTTGAGAGTCAGTGGCTGGCCCAAAGTCACCCAGTGAGCTTCATGGTTTAGTAGGTACCAAGGCCCAGATCTCCTAGGCCAGCAGCCTAACAACTACACCACAGTGGCTCCATACTCCATAAATACTCCATAAATACACCCACCAATGTATCTGCCATATACAAACTTTAAAATTTTGAAATCTTCACCCTCAGTTTAGCAATTGTTTTTCCAAGAGATTTTATCCTGTTTTGCTTTTTAATTCTCAGATAAATATGGAAATAAAATGGAGCGAACTCCTATGTAAAAACAACATGCAACTGAGAAAGAAGTAGAAATGTACAGATTCTAGTAATCCATCATTCGTATAGACTGGATTACTAGAATCCAGTCAAGTTGCCAGAATATCTTTGAAAACAGAGCTACTGTCTTAGGTTGGACCAGTAATAAAAGCCGAACTACAGGGAAGTGGGTAGGAGAGGAACAGGGGTTTAAAAGTCAGCCATATGGGAGTGTGCAGCTCATCTTATATAAATTCTATATTTATGAAGCAACCCCAGAAGTGTATGAGAAACATTAATATGAGAAGTGCTGAAAGATTTAATACCCAGACAGCAAGCAATGAAATGAAATGTACAGGGACCTGAAGAAAAGAGCAAAGCTTTCTCTCTCTTTCTTTCTCTTGCTGTTTCATGGAAGAAGTCTGTGGCTAAATTTGAGCAGGATGTGAAACAGACATAAACACCAAAACCGAAAACTGAAGTTAAACACTTGGTGCCTTCTCTCACATATTCACTTCTCAAAACTGTGTTTGTGCTAGATATTTCCCAGCTCATCTACTTCTAAGTTTACAGGAAATAGTCACAGATAATATGTATTTATTACTAAATTTCTAATCCTAACCAGTGCTTTTTTTGTAAGAAAAAAGGTGCCAGAACTCATGAAATTATTTACCTTTCGCATGTACTCAGTCACTGTACACACACACACAAGTCAGATACGTAACAAAACATAACGGTTGCCACCTGCAGTGAGCACGCAGTGTGCGACCACACAACCAATCACAAGCCAAGCAGCGCCACAAGCCGAGCAGCGCCATCACAACCAGCACCGACAAAGTACGCATGCATCGGATTCGACACACAAGCAGCCCGCATGCACCATTTTAATGATTTTGCTGCCGACCCACTACGCTTGACAGGGCAATTCAAATCCACATGGACCAAACATCAAATTTTCAAAAGTTACTTTTAAAACTTGGAAAATCTGTGAAAAAAACGTGCCAGAACTCCGTTCCTGTGCGTTCCATGACAAAAAAAGCACTGATCCTAGCAATAATTACCATGCTTTGAGTGAACCATAACCAATTAAAAAGCTCAAATAAGATTTTAAGAACACAGTTAAAATAGAAAAGACAATGTGTTCTGGAATAAAATACAAAAAAACATGAAACAAACAGCACAGGAATTGAGCCTTCAGTCAAAATAACACAGAATTAATACTTGATATCCCATATGAACCAGCTTGGATTGTTATCAATGACCCTTTACTAGAACTTCTTCCAAAGAAGGTAAAGAGCTTTTTATTTCCCCTGGTATTTTGGTCCATCCGTCCTTCCTTCTATTTCAGTTTCTGTTATAACTCCTGTATCTTAAACATTTGTGCTGCAGCTGGTTCTATTTAGTTATACTTTTTTATACTGTCATTTTAAACTCCTAAATGGTTACATTGTTTTATATCATCTCAAAGTTTATGGATTTCAGTGTTGCAAACTACCCAGAAAGATTCAGACATTATTATTTATTTATTTCATTTATATACCACCCAATAGCCAAAGTACTCTTTGTCGTTAATGACCATTCATAAAAAAAGAATAAAACCTGAGACAGATACAATAAAAACAGCACAAAATTCACTACAACGTTTGAAATAGAATTTAAAATCCATCAAAGAAGAAGTTTCTTAAAAACATAAGCTTTTTTTGATAGGCCATGAAAGTAATTAAATGCCATTAAATGCCTCAGCATAAAAGACAGTCTTAACCTGGTGCCAGAAAGATAGCAAAGTTGGTGCCAGGAAACTGAAGGGGGGAGCTTGCACCGAGAAGGCCTTCTTCATTGCGGTAGCAGCTGGGCCTCCCTTGAGGTAGCTCTCAGAGGGAGGTCTCAGATGTTGAGCATCATGCTGGGTAGATTTTGGTTGGGAAACAGGCTCTGACAGGTATTGTGGTCCCACATCATGTAAAGCTTTATTGGTTCAATGAGCATCTTGACTTGAGCTCAGAAGCATAACAGTGGCCAAAGCAAGTAGGGATAATCAGTTGTTATAAGACCTTTCATCCCAGTTGCCTATCTGGTTGCAGCTCCTGAAGAGTTTTCAAGGGCAGCTCTATGTACAGTACATGGCAGTAATCTAACCTGGGTGCAGATTAGATCATCTGGGTTATCCTGCTCCAGATAGGTTCATAGCTGAGCCACCAATTGAAGCTGGTACAAGGTTCTCTGTTCTACTCAAGTGACAAAGATGGCTCAAAACCTGCTTCTTCAAGGAGATGGCAATGCCATCTGGCCCAACTAACAACATTGCGTTCTTGCCTGGGTGGAAATTTGGTCCATTAGCCCTTGTGCTCACGGACAGGCACTAGTTTAGTACAGTAAAAATGAATAAATAAAAATGAATGAATGAATGAATGAATGAATAAATAAAATTAGGTGTAGAACAGCCAGAGTTATACTTAAGAGTAAACCCATTAAAATCAATGAGACATACATTAGACATGATGAACTTTAAGTTTGAATAAGTCTGGATTCAGCCATTAATTATCTAACAGGTCCAAAAAGAAACTATTGTCATTGTATCTGTTCAGTGCATGAATTACACTGTAACTGAAGGTTTCGGGGTGAAATGTAGATCAAAACTAATACCTGTAAAACCAGCTTGTTAAGATCATGGCCTGATTCAGAAGTAAAGCTGACAAACACCCATGGGATTTGTTTATATTTATTTATTCAAAGCATTTATATCCCACTTGATTAGCATAAAGCTTTCAAAATGGTTTAAACAATATAATTAAAATATACAAAATCCAACCAACTGTACAGGACTGCAGCCTGAAAGAATTGGGGTCCGGAATTTTTCTGCCAAGGTGGTAGGTAGTTGTGGTAGTGATGCTGGAGGAGGAAGAGGAGAAGATGGAGGTCAGATTGATTATGTTCCTGTTATACAAAGGGACTTGCAAGATATGTTAATTAAACCCTGTATGGAACAGGGTTCTGGAGAAATATGATTCATACCCCCCATTTACCAAAAAGCTCACTGGCTGAGAGCCAGCTATTCTCTCCTCTCCTTTAGCCTAACCTACTCCATAGGATCCTTGTGCACAGAAAAGATGTTTGGAGAAAGGTCTGGCTTCAAAATCAAAGAGACTTTGAAGCTGTAGCATTGCTGAAGCTAAGAAGGTATAATCCTCATTGACAGATGAAAGGAGGACCACTGACAGTCCATGTAAGTCCCTCTGAGCTTTGGTAAGAAAAAAAATAGAATATCAATAAATACAAAATAATACAATTTTCCTCTGTTTTCCAGTTCTGTGACTCCATTTTGCTGTTCTGGCTTGTTTGTTTCCAGTATATAATATCAAATGCCATGCTGTGTTTGATGAAAGATCATGTGCCACATGCCTTAACCACAAGCTACATCTATGAGAAAGCCTTGTTTATCGTTATGACTTGCAAAACGTCAGCCTCTTACTAATCTCACTTAAAAAAAAAAAGACTGCTGAAAGACGACTTCTCTGAAAGACTGAACATAGTTGCCACTTTAGCTGGGCCAATGGGAAAAACCCTTCTTCCCTTCAACACGGCTGGCCTTTAACCAATGCTAAGTCGAGCTTCGGCTGGGAGAGGAACTACTTATAGGAAACCAGAGTTTGAGTGTGTATTTTGCGCAGCTGAAGAAAGGGAAGAGAGAACGTCAGTCAAACAGAGACTGTCAAGTAAAGAAAAGAAAAGAAAAGAAAAGAAAAGAAAAGAAAAGAAAAGAAAAGAAAATGGAGCTTCCACTGCTTTTATCTCCTCAGCTGAATACTTCGAAGGTGAAATCATTGTGCAAAATCATGAAATCCATGAATAAAGAGGGGACGAAGCCAGAAACGAAAATCAGGTAAGCTCTGGAGGGGGAATGCTTTGCAAGGCTCGTTATTTGGTTGTTTGTTCTTACATATGAAAAAAGGGCAAAATATCTAAGCAATGATGTAAGACCATGCTTCAGGTGTCCCTAACTTGTGGTCTAGGGCTCAGCTGAGAACGGAAGGGAATTGCCTTCCTTTGCAGTAACGTATGCCTCCCATAAGGTCTGATGTTCTCCCACTTAGAGTGGCAGCTATGAAGGAGACAAGCTTTTCCCCTCGAGACATTATGGATTGTGGGCGAGTAAGTAAGAAGAGAAGCAGTATGGTTCTTTTATCATTTATTGATTCAATGTATATTCCACCTTAACTTAATCTGAGGACTCTCTAAGCAGACTTCTTTTAGGTGGAAGTTACAAGTCTACTTTAACATCTCCAAACCAAGAAACTACTTTTAACCACTGGGATTCATGACGCATTTCTAATTTTTTCTATTGGTAAACAAAACAGCACCACAAGAATTTGACCCTTTCTTTGAGCTTGCTAAGATTAATGTCTTTCCCATCTCTGGCCTACAAACTCAATGTGAAAGAATGTCAAAATGAAAAGACTTTCATTTACCCTTTGCAAATGATTCGGTATGTAAATGTATGCAAAGGTATAAGTGAGAAATTCATTATTCTCTACAGCAAACGTGGGAGAAATAACATCAGCATTAGCACCATCACATGTGAGGGGGAAATGATCAGCTTTTCAGAGATGTTATGCACTGGTAGAAAGGAAGGTCTTCAAGAAGCTTTTGCAGCAATGCTATGTAGAATGGTGATGAGCAGTGGCTTAAATTCTCTCCTAGGACTGAAGAAAAGAGGAACCGACTGAGTCTCCTGCAAAAGCCGTTGTTGCACCCAAGTGTTGATCTTGACAAATTTGAGAAATTGACAATGGCTTCAAGGTGAGCACTGTTTAAAAACAAAATCCCAGGAAAAAGATCTGAAACACCTCTAGAGTTGCAACTTGCCTATTAAAAGCGATAGTGCCATTGCAGTTTTCTAGTGCAGTTTAATTCTCCTTTTCTTGGCCTCTTTCAAAACTGTGTTGTTATCTCTCTCAGGTCAGACTTTCATTTCTCACTGAACCAAACATCTGTGATAGTCCTTGCTTTCCCTGCGTTACTGTGATGCAGGGATACAGCTGAGCCAAGCTGGGAATGTGGTCACCTTTTGAATAATGCAACCCTACCATCCTACGAGCACTTTCATGCAGTTGCGAGAGGGTCAAAGGTCCGAGAAAATATGAACGCATGCAGACTTAGGGCAGTAAGGTAGAGAAGCCAGAAACGGATGTGTCTGCTCTCACTGATGTCAACATAAGGCCAAATATTACTAGCTATGCACTAGTATCAATGTTTCATTCAGGATGAAAACAAAAAGGAAAGGAAGGGAAACCCAGGGGCTGAAGCAGAAGTCAATTGGTGAGAAGTGAGTAAGCAAAACATCTGAAAACAAGGTGACAAAGAAGAGCTGGGTATGTTCCAAGGGTACATGCCCCCAAACCCAGCGGTATTCAAGGCAAATACCCCGTGCAGGGACATTGAGCAACCGTCAACCCAAGAGCCGTCAACTCAAGGGCCAGAGAAATTCTTGGGTGTCACACTCAGTGAGCTGAGCCAAAGACAGAAGCAGTTAAAATGTTCCAGCCTGTCTTAGCTTAATGCTCTTACAAGTAGCTAGGCCTTGTAAGAGGGTTTCCCATTGCTTAGAATGGTGTCCTGGCCAAATAGTGGGAAGCCATCTAATGAGAACTGTCTGAAGGAAATGGTCCAGCCCAGAGGGCCAGAGCTGGACTTGAATACGGTCATGTTTTTTATTTATTTATTCATTCATTCATTCATTTTTTGATTTATATCCTGCCCTTTTCCTACAAAGGGCTCAAGGCAGCTTACATCTCCTCCTCCATCTTATCCCCACAACAACAACCCTGTGAGGTAGGTTGGGCTGAGAGTCTGTGACTGGCCCAAAGTCACCCAGCTGACTGAGTGGGGACTAGAACCCAGATCGTCTGAGTCCCAGTCCCATGCTCTTAACCACGACACCACACTGGCTCTCTTTGGCGCTCAGAACTGAGGTTCTTCACCCCAGTTATAAGGTAGCTACACTTTACTCACCAAAGGAGCACCAAGCCCCATCCCGAATTACCCATTGTCTTCCCAGGCCCTTGATGACCCATCCTGGGCCTCCTCCATCAGGCACATGGTGTTCTTTTACAAGTGAGTAGACATTTCAATTAAAAAGTCCAGAGGGGGCTTGGTGCTTGGCAAGCAGTTTAGGATGGTCAAGGGTGCTCTTAACATCATCTGAGCATTTCCACCTCGTGTCCTGGCCACTGCTCCTTCTGGAATGATTTTCTCTTCTCTTGTGGGTATGACATGAAATGTATATCATGAAGACTCCAATAGTGAGGCGTAATGGGCTATTTGTTTCTTTGTGGGAGGATGCAGAGATACAGAGGAGTAGTATGATATTTTTTCCCAGTTAAAAAGAAGAACGCCAGTTGGCCACCTCATAGCACTGGCTTAACGGGCCTGCTCCCACCCAGGGGAGCCAAAAGTGGATGCCCTTGTTTCCAAAATGTAGGTGGGCTGGGGACAGTTTCAAGGTTTCATTGAGAAGCCCTTACCTCACTTTTAGGTTTTGCCTGCTTCTTTTATCTTTGCTTTAGTGGATAGTTGCAATATCGTCAATTAACTAACAGCCCTCTCTCTTCTCTGTGTCTTGGCTCACTCCCCTGAGTTATATGCTCAGCACAATCTGTTTTGTAAAAGTTTATGTTCACAGCTATGTATACACTGGGACTAGTTTCAGCCTCAGTGTTCCCCAGCAACAAAACTGACTCCTCCTCATCCTCATCATCATCATGTTTATTATGTTTATGTTTATTTTATTTTTGATCATGTTCGTGCTGCAAAATGTGTTTTACATGTGGTAACACATGCAGAGCAGAGAACTGTTAGTACTATTGTGTCATGCTTTGTGTTTAGAAAATTGATGTAGTCTGGATTGTGTTAGGCTGGCAGGATACCATTCATGGATGGCATGGCCAACTTCTAAGCACAAGCCCTAGATATAAAAAGAGCTTTTTCTGTAAGTTCAGGCCTGCAGTCAGAATAAGATCATTTAAAGACTAGCAGCTATCATAACCACTGGGAGGGAAGTAGGAAGCATGTCAGGCAAAGGAAACATCAGTGTCTGCTGCGGTTGGGCACCAGCTCCCAGTCCCCCACTGCTCCCCTCCCCTCCCACACAGGACCATTCTACCAGCCCTGCTGAGAGTTTACTTATTTTTCCTCATCCTTCCCCATCCCTCTTTCCTTGTCTGTCATGTAAGAATGCAGAGGGGGCCCCTCTTTTTTGCCACCTGTTGGAACTGCCACTCTGGGAGCAGTTTTGGCCAAGGACTGGGATTAAAATCCTTTTCCATATATACATAGTCGCCTTGGGTTGCCTTATCCTTGTGAAACTGACTAATCCCCTTTTAAGGCTGTTCAGGGTGGTGCCATCACTGAGGAAGAAAACTACAGAGATTAACTACGTGCTGTGTGAAGAAACACTTTCTTTTATTTGTCCCAAATCTCCCACAAACCTGCTCCTTGGGATGCCCTTGAATCCCAGCAGTAAGACAAGGTGAAAAATTGTCTCCTTGTTGATTTTCTCTGGACCTCACGCAATTTCTTCCTCTATCTTGTCTCCCCACCATCAACTTTTTCTGAACTAAACATTTCCAGGCATTGTAACTTTTCTCATAAGGTAGTTGCTCCAACAACTTGATCATTTTAGTCCTCCAGATCTTTAAGAGTCCTCTGAACCCGTCCCTGCCTTGCCATTTATTTTCTGTGACTAGGTTCAGACAACACAGTGGCTTGAGTGTGAGTTGTCATGGAACTGTGAATTGTTGTTGAAACATGCTGTCTGAACCCAGGCACGATATCAAGCCATGGTGAACAGCCCACAGTTCAGAACCCAACAGCAAACCATGAATTTTCTTCCTGGGTTGTTCATGGTTATGGCTTGTCAGTGTAGCTGGGTTCAGACAACACAATAACCTTCAGTGAAACAACAAACCATGGTTCAACAACAAATCACACCCAGTCTATGAGTGTGGGTTATTGGGCTGTCTATGTTCTTGTTTCTCTCCTATCGTCTCTCTATTATCTTCTGCCAGAAATGTCCATATTTATATTATTTACTCCTTGAGGATCTCGCTTTTGCAGACAGCACTCTAGGAAGTTCCATATACCAATAGATCTTAAACACTGCAACAGCTACCTAAAATGCAATCAAGTGAATATTCCTAAAAGTCATTAAAATTAAAACTTTTTTTAGCTGGAAGGAGGAATAAGATTTGTCTACTTGCCGTCCTGTGAACCACAATATCAGACATCCATAAAGATGATTTCACAATATACTTGATAAAAATAACCCTCTTTCCTTCTACACCCACCACATACAGAAGAATCCAGTGCTTCAAAGATAGCATGACATTGGGAAAAAAAATGTTCTGCTGCTGTAAACAAAGCAACCGGCCGCATGTGTTAATATGGTTAGAACAGCATTGCTTTCACATCTTTGTTTCCATATACCATCGAGCTTCCTGTATGCTGTTAAAAATAGCATGTGGTCACCCAAGTCCTGAGCATGCTGTACTTGATACCGCATCTCTGTGCAAGCAGTTCCCAAGCGCTTGTGTTTTCAGCATTTCCTCAAAAAGAACAGCTGATCTTTCGACAGCTGATCCTGTCTAGGATCAGGTTGGTTGGTCTTTTCAAGACCATGGGATACAAGAAGAATGCCTAAGGGGCATTGCTCCTTTGCAATTATTGTGTGTGCATGGGAGTGGAGGAAGTGACAGCAGAAAAAACTCTTGCATGCTTCAGTAAGAAAAAGCCGGCCAAATTAGACCAGCTGTTTTCAAAGGCACAAAGGGAAGAGTATTCTTTTATAAAGAAATTTCATTCAACACCCTTTGAAGGATGATAAACTGAGAACCATAGGAAGTAACATGTGTTCAGACACCTCAAAAATATGCATAACACATGATTTTTTTTTTTAAATTTTGTTGGTCTGGTGCAGTGTCTCCCCTGAAACTGTGAAGAAGTGGGGCGAATCTTTTGACAAGCTGATTTCCCAGAAAGGTTAGTGTCTGTGTTTTAACCTAGATGTATGTTTCATTAAAGTTTTGTCCCATTTCTTTTCATTTCTACAAGTGGCCTTAAAACTTTTTCATGCTGAAGTGTCTCATTATGATTATTCTTCTATGGTCATGGACTAATGGTATGTAAAGTGAAGAAGTCTATTAAGTTCAACTTCCAATGATAAATGAATGGCTTCATGAGAATTGGTCTTGCGTTTTGATCAGAAAATGCACCTGAGAAAACTGAGAAGTGACTGAATTTCTCTAGTGGAGAGAATAGTTCTGTAGGCCATGTTGTCCAAAGATGAAAGAGAGGTCTTTTGTACAGTTGAGGGTAAAGTGAAACATGCATTCTATGTGCTATATAATGGATTGTAAACAGTTATATGTTGAAACCTGCAATCTTTTATCTGGGAGAGAACTTTCAAAAGATTGTAAATTCTTAGGAATTGTGGCAAGGAAAAGACTCAGTAAAAGAAAAGGCCAGTGTGACATCAAGAACCAGTAGACTATATCTCTCCTTTACCCATCTCCGCTTTCTGCTTGCCTAAAAAGTCACCAAGTGTTCAGATATTTCACTGGAGACCATCACCAAGATCCTCCACACTACTGTATTCCCAGTCACTATGCATGGGTGTAAAAGCTGGAGAATGAAGAAAGCTGTCAGGGGAAAAATGGATACATTCAAAACATGGTGATGGAGAAGATACCCTGACAGACAGACAATGGGTCCTAGATCAAATCAAACCAGAACTTTCCCTAGAAGCAAAAATGACAAAACTGAGGTGAGAAGACAAGACTCGCTGGAGAAGACAATTGTGCTACAGAAAGTTGGAAGCAGAAGAAGAAAAAGAAGACCAAATATGAGATGGACTGGATCCCTAAGGAAGCCACAGCCTTGAATTTATAGGAGCTGAGCAGGGCCATCATGGATAAGATGTTCTGGAGTGTTTTTATTCATAGGGCCACCATGAGTTGGAAACAACTCGGTGCACATTGCAGGAGCAACAGTAGTGGAGAAGATGGACTAGAGGATGTGTGTGGCAAGTCAGATTCCTGTCAGCCAGGTTTTGACTATTGATGATTAATTTCAATGTCCCTGATCCTCTGCCTCCTTTGGATTCTTTCACATTAACCAGATTTGGACTGGATCCCACTTCAAGTTAAGAAGCTGCCCCCTGTCAGCTCCCCAAAACAAAGGACTGCCCTCTGTGAAGCAGGACACCTTGCCAACATAATTTAAATTTCAGAATGTTCCCACAGAACTAGAATTGACTAGTGTTTCTTAGGGGCCAAAATAGAAATGAACTTTCCTGCCATGCCATCAACATTTCACTTCTTACTCTACAAGAGAGGGAAAAGCATGAGGGGGTTTTTTCTTTTCAATTTTACCTCCAATTTCAATGTTTTGCCAATAATAGGCAATCAAAAAAGAACACACTTACTGACATACATCAATGTTGCAGGTTTGTGTCTGAGCTGCACCACTTCAAGTAGCAGTTGGTCCAGAAAATCAAATGTTCCTCAGCATAAAGCAAACTTCTGTCCACATAAAAATCTTCTCTCAGGGAGGAAGGAAGGTCGAGACCATTTCTACCTGTCACGCTTGACTCAAAATTTCCCCTTTCCCCTCAGGGATTATTCCTTCATGTGAACCTTTATGGTGCATTCTGAAATGACATGATCCAAAATACGGATGCCTAAAGATTTTGCTAGGCCATATTTTGAAATGCATGGATCCAATTCACACTTCCCAGGCTCATACGCAGGCAAAAAAGCGATGATTTGGATTTCTGAATTTTGCAATGCAGTTCTTGACTCAAAAATACACCAGAATCCATACAGGAATGTGAATTCATCCTTTTGCAGGGAAAAGTTTGGAACTGTGTGCTTCTGAACACATGCACACACACACACACACACACACACACACACACAGAATTAAATATGAATGTTCATGTGAGATTTCTTTTAAATTACAGATTCTTCCAGAAACCAGACTGAACACATTTATGAATGTCAAATGAATATGAACCACTGTAGTTAGAGAGCTGGATTGGGAGCATTGAAGATCTGGGTTCATTCTTCAATCAGGAAGCTTGATCGAGTGATTTTGGGATCATTATGGGGTCTCAGCCTAACCTAACTTACAGGGTTGTTGCTTTGAGAATACAAGTAGAGTGGAGGAAACCCATGAAACCACCTGGGGGGTGGGGGTATAAATGCAACATATTGATAATGACAATATAGACCAGAAATAGACTGATCAATTTATCTCTTGCTCAAACAATCTCACATTGGAAAGGATACCAGGCACATACTATTTTCATTAAGCAAAGCTGTGATTGCTTCTTCTTCTTCTTCTTCTTCAAGGTAGCTTTTCAAAATGAAGAGCCTCTCTTGGAAATTTCATCCAATGCTTTCTCGTGTCATTTAACCAACGAGAACTGAAGGTGTTGCTACTCAAGTTAATTTAAAAACAAAAGGGGACAGGGGAAGCAAAAATGAATGCTCTGAAAAACTTTCAGTAATGTGATGTTGCTGAAAGGAAATTTGAAAATTGTTATGTTCACCTTGCGATCACAGCACAATGTTATTTTGTATTATTGTTGAGTGAACTTAATAAAGTTGTCTTGGTTTTGGTTTTTCAAAATAGGTGGATTAGATGCATTCACAAGGTTCCTAAGAAGCGAATTCAGTGAAGAAAACATTGAGTTTTGGATGGCATGTGAAGATTACAAGAAAAGCAAAGGTGCTTCTCAACTTTCAATGAAAGCAAAGAAAATTTATGAGACGTTCATCGAAAGAGAGGCTCCAAAAGAGGTACACTGACATTGTTCCTAGCCACAGTATCTGATTTTGATAAACACAGGCCTAAAATGTCTTTCAACCTGCTGGGAAAATGCCCTGTTGAACAAAGCGAGGCATATTTCTGAGAAAACATGGCTTAAACTGGATTGTGCCCATTGTCTCAAAACTTGTAATGAAAATTATATAGCAGATCCTACTGCAACAGAATCAACAACCACTAGAAATATTCTTTCTCAATCCAAGAACTTCATCTGACAGATCTGATGCTAGCATGTTAGAATTATTCTTCATCACGCTGCTAAACCAATAATTATAGGTGCAATTACTACCACTATTCCATTGGCAAGATTTCACATAATAAGCCAAATGAACAAAACAAATCACCAATTTAAAAACAGGCTTCAGAGTTATGATCATAATACTTTAAGCAACTAAAAAAAGATTGATTGCAGATTTGTTCCAAAAGGCAGCATTAAGGATAGCATTAGTAATATATCACATGTAAACAACGCCACACACTTGATCTATCTAGGTTCTCACTTACATTTCCCAAATAAAATGCTTGTTGATACATCAGATAGAGTGTGGAGGAACGAGGACCTGTATACTTGCATCTCAAAGAGACTACTTCCATCCTTACATTCCACTGTAACCATCATGATTTCCCCAGTGAAATGACCTACAACCAGAGTATAGCAGACACTCCAAAAATTCCATTTTACAGGACTATAAGTAGCCATCATCCAATGGTGCAAGTATCAACTGTTTAAAGTGAAAATGTAATTGTCCATGTGCAGAACGTCTAGTACTGGACTAAAAACATTTTTGATGAACTGTTTGGGTGTAAAGGGGATTGGAAAGTAACTCCACCATGGAGGAAAGGAAATAAAAGGTTCTCTGAAATTTCAAGGAGCATGCCACCTACTTTGGGTAGCCAAGGGATTATTTTTCTTCCCTTGTTTTTCTTCTGTAAAAAGTCCAGCACCAGTCATGACAATGTGGGATTTTCTCCATCGCTTCCTAGTGATCATGCTTCCTAGAATGTTTGGGCACAACACTATGTCACAGCACACCATGTCATTCCCAAGGCATTCTTGAAAGTCCAACCAGCAGAAAGTGGTGTGCAGCTTTCTCTGCAGCTTGCAGCCTCCCATGCTTCCTGGAATGCATCAGGAATGACCGGATCATAACATTCTCAGACCTGGCAGGAAGTGCAGCCCATTGAATGCTGCAAAGAGAGCTGTGTATGATTAGGAATGGTGCATCTTTGGGCGCTTTTTAAGGTGAGGAGGTAGGAAATCCCCTAGTATTAAAAGCTAAATAAGTGTCTGTATCACCTGAAATTTCAGCAAAATTTCACCTACTTCGATGAAGTTGGTAGAAAATCGCCCACCAACCCATTTTCATAAGTTGAAATTTTTTTCAAAAATCTAGTGACAAAAGTCATTCTGGTCTGGCCTGAAAAATTACACTATACCTATTTGGTCATGCTGCCTGTCTCCAAAAAGCATTTGTAGCATAAAACAACTACACATTATGCAGAACATCTGAGAAACATTACCAATAAACTTTGTTTCCTCCCTTTTTCTTTCTCTAGGTCAACCTTGACTTTAACACCAAAACCTGCATCAGTCAGAACATGAGTCACCCAACGCTCAACATTTTTGATGCTGCACAGTCCAAGATCTATGCCCTGATGGAGCAAGACTGTTTCCCACGTTTCCTGAAGTCCAACCTTTACAGTGACCTGCTCCATGGCCGACCGCTTGGTTGTTCTGCGCTTAGAAGGAGATCACGTTCTTTTACTTTCAATGAGTTCAAAGATGCCCAGCCAGATTTTGCCATCTGGCTGTAAACTATGGAACCTTCTTTTGGACTCTACTGCTTTGGGAACATCTTCACACCAGCTGAGGAGCACCATCACATTAGGGATCTTCCCAGAGAACCAGTTGCACATGCCGATGATCTAATCTGGAAGCTTTTCGTTTCACTCATTGCAAGGATAGCCAACAGCATGTTTATTCTCAGGTCTATTCTGCCTTCCAGATGGTCATCTGGGCATCAAGACTGGTCAGATACTGAACAAATCTGGTTGTTGTCATTAAGCAATAAAGGCCAGGTGGAGCACATGCACTCAGGTATAAACGTTTTTAGAACAACTATATATGATTACGTATTGCTTTCAAAATACAAATGAGAGGTGTAACATTCAAGCAGTGCATCTTTATTCTTTGAAACATGAAAACAGTTTTACAGGGGATCAAAAATAAAATCCCAGGTAGGTTAGGAGTGCATGTGACTATCTGCTGTCTGACTGCTGTCCTGTTGAGACTCTAATTCTGCCTTTTAGAGGGATCCAGGCCTGCCTGAACACTTTACTCACCACTTCCACTGATTTCATCAGCTTCCTAGAGCTGAGCTACAAAAGAAAGCCCCCCTTGGGGAACAAGACCAGAAAAAAGTGTGTGTCTGTGGGGGGGGGGGGGACCTTTGAAGGGGAAAGGGAGCCATCCCAGTTTTCACACATATGGAAGGTGGAAATGACACTCTTTCTTTGCTCCTCTATCTTTATAAGGAAAGCCCCCCCCCCCCCAGTTTGCTGTATTCTCCCTCTTCATAAGATTGAACACTAGCCATTCTCTTGTATTATTGGAAAGTTCTTATAATACAAGGGAATGGCTAGTGTTCAATCTTACCTCTCAATCTGGAGAGGTATTTACACCTGCAACTTGAGCTGAAGCTGGAACTTCATCTTGTCCCAGATGGGCATCACTCATCAATTTCGTCCTCAGCTGCATTTCCTTCTCCCTTCTTCAACACTTTCCCATCCACCCACTCCAGCCTGATTGCCAGGTCTTTTTTCGTCAAGGCCCTTCCTCCACATGCAATTTCATTTTGAGCCCATATGGGCTGTTTTAAAGTACACCCCCACTTGAGTTCCCCCCCCCCCAAGACTCTTGTCACATCTGCAATCCTTGGAGTTCCCCTGAATTTGTTAATACCTCTCTCTTGTGTGTGAGCACTGCTGTCTTGTCTACATAATGGCAGGCACTGTCCCATGAAGTTTGGAAACAGAATGCATAACAATAGATACCCCATAAACAAATAACAGAAAGCCCTATAGCTTTCCTTCCAGGGTTGGTGCTGAGTACTCAAGAGATCCAGAGTGCCAGCCCAAGGGTCACAAGAGGCAAAGGGCTGATCAGTAGAATACTCCAGAAAACATTCATTTGAGCCAGCACGGTTCTGTTTCGCCTTCAACAAGTCATTGCACAGTATCCAAACAAACGGGAGTATCCCCACCACTTCAAGATCACAAATGAGAGACACCAGAGAATCCACACAGTCACACAAAAGCATCATGGTAAGGATCATAAAAGGATAGTATTAGCAGAGCCACACAGAAAATCAGCCTTGGGAAGCAAGGAGTGACCCACTGCAAAAAGGTATACAGAGATAGCAGGAAAAGGAAGAAGAAGAGGAGAATAACCCCAGATCCACACACAAAAACAAAGACTAGTAAGGATGACCAACAGATTCTGAGCATCCAAATATGCATGTCTATACACACAGATCCTTCTGTCTGTATCTCCTGCAAAACAACAGCAAAAAGCTGTGCAGATAGTATTTAATAGAAATCCATCTTAGACATGTCTACCCTAAGGTATGACTGGCTTACTCAGGAAGAAGCATAGCCACAGGTTCTAATGTATGTATGCATTTATTTCATTTTTGTGCTGTCCAATAGCTGAGGTTTTCTGGGCAGTTAACAAAACTCCACCCTTCCCACACACAATCGCACGCGCGCGCACACACACACACACACACAGACACACACACACAGAGCGAGAGAGAGAGAGCGCGCACCATGGACAATCCAAGGAGGTTTGAACAATCCCTGCATATTAAGTCCAGACATGTGCTCTGGACTACAATTCCTCCACAAAACAGCTTATGCAGGGAAAGGCGAAGCAGTGCAACACACCTTGAAAACAAAAACAGAATCCCTGGCAGGAAAGACGACTTCAAATGATATTTAAAACAGCAATAAAAGTCTTCAATAAAAGCAAGCAAGGAACATATGCACTCATATGCAAAGACATAAGTAAAAGCAAACAAGGCTGCATATACACATATTCCTGTGAGCAGACAGACATTTCGGAGTAGTTGTGCATGGATTGCACTGGAAGCTGCGTGCATCTGCTTGCAATTGCATCTAAATCCATGTCACCAGCAACCCTGGTTTTTCTAATTTGACTCTTTGAGTTGTGGATTATTGCTCACATAAAATTACAAGGAGGGGAGAAAGATAATCAAAGGGTTCAGTGTTCGTTACTTCAAGCATCTGTGTGTTTATGTACCAAAACCTGCCCAAGCCCATTTAAGTGAGACAATCACAGTCTCAGAGTGATGGGAATCTTCTTGAGAAGTCACAAGAGAACTTGCCTATGACCTGGTTCCTATGACATAACCCATCATGGGTGATCACCCATGGTAAGTTGTCATAGCACCAGTACAGTTTCCGCTGGGTGGCTAATTTTTCACAAAGCACTATGAGAAACCATGACTTATTTTGGGATCGTTGATACCCATGGTGGTTTCTCATGTCATCCAAATCCAGCAGGACAACTGGTTGCAAGGAACACCTAGAGATCTTCCTGGCTGGGGCAGCAGACCCTTCTGCTACTCCTTGCAACCTCATTTGTGCTGTGACCATTCCTTCTCACCCCTTCTCAATCGATAGAAGCCTTTACATTTCTGCAATGTCCTCCTCCAAGTTACTGCTTTGCCCTGACATTTGTGTATGTTTTTCAGTCCTTCTTACTGCTGTGAAAAAAGTCAAAGTGCCAAGCAGGGAGAGGGAGAAGCTGAAAGTGGTTGGGGGAAATGTGCTTTGCTTTGGGTGTGCTTACATTTTCAGCAGATGTCCTTTGGGAATGAGGAGCATCCTGTTTTGAAAGAGGTGTTGGCTAGCTAGGCTGCAAGTCCAATCAACCATTGGGAGCACTGTAGGTTATCCAGCAGACAACCAACTCATGGCGGCTTATTTTCAAGGTGCCTTAGGAAAACAGGCGAACTTGTCCTATAGCTGCATTGCCTACATGTATACAATTACTTATGGGTCAGCCAAACTTAAAGGCAAAGGTAAAGGTTTCCCCATGACATTAAAATCCAGCCATGCCTGACTCTAGGGGGCGGCGCTCATCTCCGTTTCCTAGCTGAGGGAGCCAGTGTTTGTCTACAGACAGTCTCCATGGTCATGTGGCCGGCATGACTAAACACCGAGGTGCACGGAACGCCGTTACCTGCCCACCGAAGTGGTACCTTTTCATCTACTTGCGTGTGTATGCTTTCGAACTGCAAGGTTGGCAGGAGCTGGGACAGAGGCAGGAGCTCACCCCGTCTGCAGATTCAAACTGTCAACCTTTCGATCAACCAACCCAGCAGCTCAGCAGTTTAACCCACTGCACCACTGCATCCCTTCAGTCAAACTTACTAAAGAGCAAACCAGAGGTGAATCGTGGAATTTTCACCTTTTCCCAATACTGGACAAGTAGAGTTTTTGTTGCCTTCAACAATAATGGCTGAACAGTTATTAGGTCCACTGATATTGTGGTCACACTAACTATATTCTGTATTTTAGCTCAGATTTGGTTCCAAAATCCTTAGCATCTCTGCATGAACAAAATATATGCAAGCAATATTCTATGGAGTTCCATTCCCAGCAATGGAAGATGTTGACATATAAATTCTGATATTTAGGGAACTGGATATTAACTACATACTGTGTCCAAATAATAATCTTTTATAAGTGTCATACATACAGATTTTTCATCTCTTATTCCTAAATCTGGTATTGTCCAGCTCCATAAATATCCACTTAAAGCTGCAAAATATGGCAATCAGATTAGTAACAGGTCCCAGAAGTTCCAGACACATTCCAGACAGAAATGCTGGCCCACTTGCATTGGCTGCCTATTGTAGGTTAAACTTTGTTGGTTAAAATCAGCAATTCAAGGAGCTGCTTTTAACCTACAGAGCCCTATATGGCTTTAGCCTACAATACCTTACAGAATTCTTCTTCCAAACACCATTGACTAATATATTTCAATCAAGATCTGGAGCCAACTTTGATATCTTTTTAGTGCTAGTTAAGACTGGAATATAATTTATTCATATTGCAGCACTACATCAACTACTGAACAGGTCTTGTGATTAATTTGAGTAAGTTTTTCTTTTTAAAAAAGTTTTAAACAGGACTTTTAAATTTTGTGATCCATTTTATGGTATTTTTCTGTCATCTCATTTTATTGTATTCCCATGGCATCTGATGTTGTGAATTGCCCAGAGAGCATTGGCTATTGAACAATATAGAATTATAATTAATAATATCAATAATGAAAAACTTCATTTAATTTTGATTGTGATTTGCATCCTAGAAACATACCCCTGCTTGTACCTGCACCTAGCTGTTCTGTAATTAATTCCTTTCTTTCTAATTGAATCAAGTTCTTTAACCAGCTCCTCGGTGCGTCTCTTCCTGTGTTATAGCATTGGAATAGATGACTTCCATTCTTCATTCTAAGAGAATCAAGAAGGCGGTCTATTTTTTCCTGTCATGATAGGCTTGATGTTACATGGTGAGGCATTTGAAAATATAGGAAAGAGAGAATTACTCAGACACTGAAACTGCCATTCCCATTTTTAAATTAAGCTGTTTGCTGAATACGCTGTCCAAGGAGGGCTGGCAGGAGGGAGGGAGAGTTCCCCCTCTTTAAATATTTACCATTCAAGACATGCTTTCAGTCCCCAAGTCAGCATGTGTCAATTATGCAGGCTTTTTGCTGCAGGGTGTCTGGTAGGGATTTCTTGTACCGCAAGGCAATCCTGAAATATTAAACATGGATTTCATTCAATAATTTAAGCAACAACAAGATTTAATAGTAAGAATGACTGGTACAATCAACAGCACTGGATGGAAATGGGATCTCTCTCTTCCCTTTCCCCCCCTCCAAAAAGCAATCAAAGTGGAGCAAAGCCATTCATGAGGGTGCTAATTTGTGTGTATTATGGGTACAACCTGTTGATAGGTTGCAGAGGCAAGAAGACGTATACTACCTTTCTATCAAAAAAGAAAGGGTGGGAAGGTCTCAGTTGAGAAGCTAGGTTGGTGGTATATTCTTCAGAGTTGAAGGTCTTAGTTGAGAAGCTG